CGTACAAAAATAACATAGTAGCACAACATTCTCGCATTCTTTGGGGTTAGCTTTATACTAAATATTCGTTTTAAAACCTATATTTCATACAAGCTGTAATTTTCTGATCAACAAAAGCAGACGGGCCGTCAATCTAAAAAAAAACACAGAATAGCAACATAAAAGTAGTTTAAATTAGGAACGGACCACGATGCATGTCATTATTGTTACTTTCAGATGAACAATCCCGTTAAAACTACAAAAACTAATCTGAAGCAGTAAGAAACGGTTCATCAATGGGCAAAAGCTCTTTTGAAGAACTTGTTTGAGAACGGTGCAAACGGCTGATTGTGTTGGAGGAATATCATCAGAAAATGATGAGCGGCGTCCTGCGTGTTTCCAGAGGAATAACAGGAGCGTAAGATTCGTGACTTATCAGCGTTTGAGAGCGGTGGGCCGACCGAGGAAGAACCTCTGGAATAAAAGGAGGATTATGGAACTCTTTAGCGCCTCCTCGACTTCCAATCAGACACAAATAAACAGCATCCGTCAGAAACACAAACACAAGAGCAGCTCTGGAACTAATCCTGCTGTCCCTGCCCGTGAAGACATCGTCCTGAAGAGACACACTGAGGAACAGAAATCAACTCGAACTCCGAAACGTTGTAACAATGAAAATGCCTGTGTTGTAATTGAAGGAAGTATCAGGAATCTGCTCCGGTCAGACTCAGACACTTCAACTTTAATAGACTTCGAGGAAATAAAGAGCGGAAGGCTTTCATGAGGACGGCAACTTAATCTAAATTTTGATGCTTAAAACTAAAATTCTGTTATTAATTTTTGGGTGAACTATCCCTCCAACAAACATTCTTCCAGTGACATCAAGGGAATGTTTGTTATCTGGTCTTTAATAATGTTTTCAAAACTTTAGCACAAAAGCATACATCATTCATGGAACATATTTTTCCTGAAAGGTTTTAGTTGGATGTTCGTCTAACGTTTTTTAAATGTTATCACCTGTTTTAGAACAATTAGAGAACACTCAAAAGTAACATTTGCGTTTGCAAAATGATACATTTAAAAAAATGTTAAATACACATTCAAAGAACATTCATAAATACCGTTCCCTTAATGTTTGCAAAGTTACACAATGGAATGTTTCTTTAACAGTTGCATAACCTTTCTTAGTAACATTCAGATATAACTTAATGGGAACATTAGCAAAACACTCTTAGAAGGTATTTTGTTACCTGTGATTCTACAGTATTGTTCAGGCAGATCTTCATGTGTTTGCGCTGCTGGTTCTCCGAGTTTGTGTCTCCCCTGCATGACCTTTGACCCGTAGGTCAGAGCAGCTTCAGAAGTGACCCTGACGCTTCTAAAACTGGTGTGTCTTCAGAGTGACACGCACTCATCTCCATGCCAGCGGAGCAGAGAAACATCTACACAATGCAGCTCTAGAAATAGCCTGAGCCTCCAGCGTGCCTCACATCAGCCCGACTGACTCAGAGCTGCAGGTCCAGAATTCACCAGAACTGCATGCACAACATTCACACAACTACAGCTGTATGCGAGAAAATTATTAAGACTTATAATACATTTTAATAATGCTCTATTTTTCCTTTTTTTTGTATTGCTTATGCATATTTTTAACATGAAGCACTTGTGTACGAAATATGCTAAAAAATAAAAATAAAAAACTAAACTCACCACTGCACTGATATTAAATTGTTGTGCATGGTTGTCAAGAGCGTTGCTAGGGTGTTTTGAATTGTTGCCAAGGCATTGCTAAATGGTGTTTTGAGTTGTTGCCAGGGCGTTGCTATACAGTGTTTGTGTTGTTGCCAGGGCATTACTAGGGTGTTTTGAGTTGTTGCTAGGGCGTTGCTATACAGTGTTTGTGTTGTTGCCAGGGCATTACTAGGGTGTTTTGAGTTGTTGCTAGGGCACTGCTATACAGTGTTTGTGTTGTTGCCAGGGCATTACTAGGGTGTTTTGAGTTGTTGCCAGGGCGTTGCTATACAGTGTTTGTGGTGTTGCCAGGGCATTACTAGGGTGTTTTGAGTTGTTGCCAGGGCGTTGCTATACAGTGTTTGTGGTGTTGCCAGGGCATTACTAGGGTGTTTTGAGTTGTTGCCAGGGCGTTGCTATACAGTGTTTGTGTTGTTGCCAGGGCATTACTAGGGTGTTTTGAGTTGTTGCCAGGGTGTTGCTACACGTCGTTTTGAGTTGCTACCAGGGCATTGCTATACGGTGTTTTGAGTTGTTGCCAGGGAGTTGCTATACTGTGTTTTGAGTTGTTGTGGCAGCAGCAATATACAGTAAATACATCAATAAATCCACTGCTTGTCTCTGAGGCTGAGACTCTAAACAGTGTTCAGTGCTCGTCTCTGCAGCCAAACACAGAACAGTTAGCATGTTTTGCTCAAACTTTCATCATGGCATTAGAATATAAACGCAATGTGCAAAGTTTCACGTTAAATGGTTTCCCATAGAAAACCATTAAAAGGAAAACACTGAACCATTAAGCGGATTGCATTCATATTCCGGCCTCATCTGCTTGCCTAGGTAAACTATGCATATAATATAGAGAATATTACGGTTTTAAATATATTAAGGCACTTTAAGTGTTTTTACATTTTGTTGCACCGTTTAATGATTGAAATATTGCCGTGGGTGCTTAATATGGATTGCAAATGGCCAAAGCTTGGCTTTTATTCTTTTGAGAGGTGATCTAAATATTTGCGGCTGTGAAACAGATGGAAAATTGACAGGATTGTGCTGCAGATCTATGGATGTTTTGCCCTCCAGGTCTTCGAGCCAGTCACGTGACTGAAAGCTATAGGGTGTTTGTGTTGGTACCAGGATGTTGCTATGTTGTTAAGTTGTTGCCAGTGCATTGCTATAGGGTTGCTAGGGTATCAAGAGTTACATTTTAAAACATTGCCATGCAGTTGCTAAGGTGTCTGTTTTTAGCATTTCTAAAACTTACCTGTGGGATTTCTTCACATGTTTTATGGGTCAGCAGGTGAAAATGGTGCATCTGATCAAGTGCTATCTTTCAGTATTATAACTAGACTCACTAAAAACTGAACAGTTCAATGAATAATCCTTTCGCAATCACATGGAGAAACAGTTTACTGTAAAGCACAAGGAACAAGCGACTACTGAGAAAACTTGCACAATGCTGGTGGTTTCAGAGTTCAGCACCTGAAGGATGGCGTGACGCTGTGTTTGTTCTCCTGTATAGTTGAGTAATGGCTTTCAGAGAAAAACCTTCAGTTAATTTGCTTAAAGAAACATTAATTATTTATAGTTTGCTCCCCCTTTAATTACACGTCTGGAACAAACGCAACAATGTTCTCGCTCATCAGGAACACAGTTCATCAATGAAGCCGACGGAAATAAAACCACAAGCGTAAGCAAAAACAGCTTTTCTTTAACTGTCAGCACCGTTTATGCAGTTTTCATATTCTGCAATAGAAATACACAGAACAGACAAACAGAAAGATGCTTCACGCCTGATAATCGGCTTACAAAACACTTTGGCTGTTTGACATTCATTATTTTCTCCAGAATTTTAAAAAGAACCACCAATAAATATATAAGTGTCCAGGTCTGCAATATATCCTGATAAAATGTTTCAGAAAGAACTTACAGGTAAGGTATTCAAAAGAAATCAACAGAATAAATCCAATTTAAAGAGCAAAAAAGCAAATTAAATGTTGTTGCCAGGGCGTTGCTAGAGGGTTTTGAGTTGTTGCCAGGGGGTTGCTATAGGGTTGCTATGGGGTTTTGAGTGTTGTTAGGGTGTTGCTATAGGGTGATTTGAGTTGTTGCCAGGTGTTGTTAAAGGCTGTTTTGAATTGTTGCCAGGACATTTCTATATGGTGTTTTGAGTTGTTGCAAAGGAGGTGCTATAGGGTTGCTATGGGGTTTTGAGTTCTTGTCAGGCTGTTGCTATATGGTTGCCAGGGCGTTGCAATAAGGTGTTTTGAGTTGTTGCCAGGCCATTTCTATAGGTGGTATTGCATTGTTGCCAAGGCGTAGCTATAGGTATAGGGGTTTTGAGTTGTTGCCAGGGCGTTGCTATAGGGGTTTTGAGTTGTTGCCAAGGCGTTGCTATAGGATGTGGTGAGTTGTTGCCAGTGTGTTGCTATAGGGTGTTTTGAGTTGTTGCCAGGGCATTGCTATAGGGTGTGGTGAATTGTTGCCAGTGCATTGCTATAGGGTGTTTTGAGTTGTTGCCAGGCCTTGCTATAGGGGTTTTTAGTTATTTCCAGGGCATTGCTATAGGGTGTGGTGAGTTGTTGCCAGGCCTTGTTATAGGGGTTTTGAGTTATTGCCAGGGCATTGCTATAGGGGTTTTGAGTTATTGCCAGGCGTTGCTATAGGGTGTGGCGAGTTGTTGCCAGGCCTTGCTATAGGGGTTTTGAGTTATTGCCAGGGCATTGCTATAGGGTGTTTTGAGTTGTTGCCAGGCGCTTGTTATAGGGGTTTTGAGTTATTGCCAGGGCATTGCTATAGGGTGTGGTGAGTTGTTGCCAGGCCTCGCTATAGGGGGTTTGAGTTATTGCCAGGGCATTGCTATAGGGTGTGGTGAGTTGTTGCCAGGCCTCGCTATAGGGGGTTTGAGTTATTGCCAGGGCATTGCTATAGGGTGTGGTGAGTTGTTGCCAGGCCTCGCTATAGGGGGTTTGAGTTATTGCCAGGGCATTGCTATAGGGTGTGGTGAGTTGTTGCCAGGCCTCGCTATAGGGGGTTTGAGTTATTGCCAGGGCATTGCTATAGGGTGTGGTGAGTTGTTGCCAGGCCTCGCTATAGGGGGTTTGAGTTATTGCCAGGGCATTGCTATAGGGTGTGGTGAGTTGTTGCCAGGCCTCGCTATAGGGGGTTTGAGTTATTGCCAGGGCATTGCTATAGGGTGTGGTGAGTTGTTGCCAGTGTGTTGCTATAGGGGTTTTTAGTTATTGCCAGGGCATTACTATAGGGTGTGGTGAGTTGTTGCCAGGCCTCGCTATAGGGGTTTTGAGTTATTGCCAGGGCATTGCTTATAGGGTGTGGTGAGTTGTTGCAAGGGCGTTGCTATAGGGGTTTTGAGTTGTTGCCAGGGCGTTGCTATATAGGGTGTTTTGAGTTGTTGCCAGGGCGTTGCTATATAGGGTGTTTTGAGTTGTTGCCAGGGCGTTGCTATATAGGGTGGTTTGAGTTGGTGCCAGGGCGGTGCTAT